GCAATTCAGAAAGATTTTATTAGGGTTCATAATCCCATTTCTTGTTTCCGTCTGTCTTAGCCTGCTTTCTGTTGCTAAACTGAATACCACAGACTGAATAATTTGTAAAGAACAAAGCCTTCTTCAGCACACAATTCTGAGGGATGTAGGGTTCAGATGGCTGCATCTGGAGGTCCTTCCTGCTAGTGGGGGCTCTGCAGAGGCCTAAGGCAGGGCAGGGCATGGCATCACATGGAGTAACAGAATGTCCTGGCTCAGGGTTCTCCTCCTCTTCTTATGAAGTCATACTCTGATTGGAGTAGAGCCTCAACTTTTTGGTCTTATTTAACTGTAATTATCTCTCTAAGGTCCCACCTTCTGACACCTTAGTTGGATTAAGTTTCTATCCTCTCACTATCTCACAGTAGGGATTAAGTTTCAGCACGAACATTAGTGGGTACATTCAGGCTACAGCATACCATGTAGATGATGCAAAGAGTTCAGTGTTGCAGGGTCTTAGCCTCATGTTTGCAAAAGCAATGAATATGCAAAAATACTGACTGGCCAGTCACTCTCTCAGTGATCAAATATATATTGAGTGTTTTGCCTCTCAAGCTTTATGCTAGGAAACTGGGGATATGGAAATTAGCTTAAACCCAATATGGATTCTGTCTTCATAGCCGTTTGATTCTAGTAAGAGAAGACAGAAATGGATAAAATAATTCCTCAAACAAATAGAAAATTGCAATAATGTAGTGTTGATAGCCTGTAACACGGGACCATAATAAGAAGCTCTGGAAAGACTTCCCAGAGCAAAGCAACACAGCTGAGATTCAAAAATAGAGAAGGAATTCACTATGCAGTATGAGGTGGGCAGAGTTGCTAGGCTCAGAAGACAGAGTGCAGTGGACTTTGTAAGCAAGCGTATGGCAAGCGTGAGGTTGGGAGGAGGCAATGCTGGGGTTGAGATGGGAAAGCAGAGCGGCCAAGGCCAGGCAGGGAAAAGGGCTCTGTTAGAGATATCTTTCTTTACTACTGTAGAAATCTAAAGCCAACTATACTACGGCACATAAATAGTGCTTGTGCAGGGGATAGGGCCAATGGATGTAGGCAGGTCCATTGTATAATCCCTGCATTATGCAACCTGAGGGCATCATTTGCTGTAGTGTGGAAGTGGTAGATAGAAGGAGAATGGAATGTAGTCAAGAGATAATTGAGATACAAAATCAAACGAACTTGAGTTAAGACATGGGGAGTAAGGGCAAAGCTGGTATCAGTGCTAGCCTTGACTTAAAAAATGGATGTATGGTGGTTTTATTAACTGAGGTAAACAACAAGGCAGAGAGTAAGGAGGAAGGGTATAGATTGAGTTTCAGACATGTTAAGTCTGAAGCATCTTTTTGTATATCAGATTGAGGAGGCCATTGGATGTGCAAGTCAAGATATTAGAGATAAGCCTGGCTTGCCAACCCTCTGCAGGGAGAAAACAATTGAAGACATGCATGTAGATGACATCATCCAGAGAGCTTGTGTGTGAATTAACTTGAAATGACAATGGTGATGATTTCTTCTCTTCTCTGGATGTAGAGATAGTTACTGATTCATTTATGTCTCAATTTTTGAAGCGATTTAAACAGATTTAAAATCCTTTCAAGTGATCATTCACATTTATCTACCTTTGATAGGTGTCCAAAAAGTCAGAGTTATCAACTGTCTCATAAAAATAAGGTTGTAGGAGAGGAAGGATTTTCTGTATTACCAAGGCTCAGAAAGCAGTGGAAATCAAAGCTTTCTTTGACTGGGCCAAAGCCATCACATAAATCAAACAAACCTAACTTTAAAAGTCCTACTGCTTGGATTGGTTTTAAGATAAAAATTTATTTTTTAAAATAATTTAGGAATCTTTTATAAGACTTAAAGATGCCTGTGTTATAATCAAACAGACTCGCCTGGTTGCCTTATTTTCCTGCAAAGAACAAAATCTACTTTTGTGCATTTTTTGCATTCATTAGTAGTGAATTCAAATACCAGTAGTTTGTCCTACCAGGTATTATGTTGAAGTCTAGCAGAAAGCATTTGACCTGCAGGGCTTCCCCAGGTGAGTTTTGAATTGGGCAGATTTATTCTAAGGAATCATTGCTGGAATGGGGAATCAATAGACCTCTGTGATCAGTAGGTTCTTAGTGGGTGCATTCTGGAAAAGAGCTTATGCATTTCTTAAGAATTACTAAATATAAACTGCTACCTATAAAGTCTGTAAATGTAAAAATCAGTACTCATCAATTACTTTAGTTGTTATGGCATGCAAATCACAAATCCCATAAACTTTTAGAAGCTATGATATTGGGTCAACTATTGCATGGTATTTTAACCCTGAGATTGCATTTTGACCTTTAGGTTACTGGACTGAGTATGCCGGATACCATCTCAGCAGAAAGCTACTTCCTTCTAGTTCTAGTAACTCAGGCTTTTGTGTAGATTGTGGAGGCTGCACATTTGATCAATAATGGCCAAAGGCTAGCGCCAATTGAAAATGTTAATGCTAAACTCAAATTTTCTTTATTGTGAAAATTTTAGTAACAAAGAGATTGTTGCAAAGAAGTATAGATAAAAGAAGAAGGAGGAAAAAATGGTGCCTGGGTCATTTGTATGCTAGAATATTCACTTTTGGCATCAAGTTGTATAAATCATGTGCATAGCTTGTGGCCTTTTTTCTATTGGCTTTTCAGGAGGTTCTGTGGTTGGAATGTCATGCTTTCTTCCAGTTAAGCGCTCCACACCTTCATATGGAGAAAGGGCTGATGAAGGCAAACTGCGAGGTGGCTCTCAGCAATGTTGATAGCATGGGTTTTGTCAGGTTTGTGGCCCGGATTTGCCACTAACAAGTTCTGTGACTGGGTGCTTTACTTCTCCCTGTGGAGCATGCATTTCCATTCTTGAGAAGCCTTCGCTTCTGGAGCTGCTGACTCTCTTGAGTTGCAGTAGGTCATCTTTGAGTGCTCTGTATATCAGCTGAGCAGGTAAGCAGCTATGCTGTTCACCACTAGAGAGACTGGTAGGCCCAGATGTTTAGAGAAGTATCTACCAAAATGAAAGTATTGGTCTGGATATTTCTAAGTTGGGTAAATTTATCAAACTTTTTAGTCTCTCTGAACCACATTTTTCCCAGTTAAGCAATGGGGGTATTTATAGAATCTACCTTGCTACTTAGTTGTGAAGATGAAAAATGAATAAATACAGAGAAAACATTTAAAACAATAAATTTGTTGTTATTATTATGTACTTCATGCTATACTTGAAGCCCTCATCAGCACACATTGACACTCATTGTAAAATTCTATTTGTAGTCTCTGTTATTGAGCACATATAACACACACAGAGAATGGAATCCAACAGTGGAGGCAATGTATTTCACTTGGGAAGAAAAGCTTATACTGGACACCTTTCCAAGTCTTTCTTTGCTGCAGTAACTGAAGCATGTGTCTCTGCCCTCCTTCCAAACTCCTCTCAAGCCCCTTCCTCAATAACTTGTTTAGCTCTCCCAGGCTCTACTCCTTCATTCCTTGTAAGATCAAATAGAAAAGATAATGAGTGTGTTTGTGTGTGTAAGTTAAGGTAAAAGGGCAGAATTGTCCTATTAAAATACTGGGGCAATTATCCCAGTGTCACCACTGTAGCTTTGATCAAGACCATCAGCCTGGAGGTCAACTTTCCAAGGATACGGAGGATCCGGCACTGACCATAGGATACAACTCAGGCAGCTTGAACCAACTATACTTTTCCAATTACATTCTTTTCATTTTGCCACTATTGTAGTATTATGGTTTTCCAGTAGGTATCTGAAGTATTCTTCCTATAATAATGATTTTATGAGAAATAAACCTAGAAATGAAGTGAATATATTCCCTTTCATTAGCCACTTTTATTTTCTTCTTTCAAAAATATTTCTATTTGTGATTAAAAATTTTTTTGCAAACATATAAGATATGTGGCTTTTCTTTTCATTTGAGTGCCCTTATGTGATGTCAAATAACTTTGCATTAACAAGGCGCCTTTTACCTTTCACTGTGTCCTCTGACATGCATGTGATATCCTCTGCCCAACTAGGTATGAAACCAGGTTTGCTTCTTTTACATTTGAGGTGCTTTATGCAGTGTGTCTCTGTATACTGCTGTCTAAGGCTACTGGTTTCATTGAGGTGATTTGAAAAAGCAGTACTCGGAAGTCAGGTGCAGGATATACCTTTGAAAAGAAAGATGCTGCCTTACTTGGAGATCCTACTGTTTATCAGAAAGATTTACTTTGCAGAGGTCTGCTCAGCCCTGTGCTTTGAAAGCATGAGAATTCATTTCATCTTAGGATTTCTGAGGGAAATGCAAACCTTTCTGGCTTCAGTTGAGCTGCTTCAAGAGAAGGTTTCCTGAAGTGGAAGCTATGGGAAAAACCTCCTGAATCAATTGTATAGAGGGGATGTGGGAGACTGAAAAGTTCTCATCCTTGAGAATTAAAGCAGCGCACATTAGTCCTCACCCATCCCCAGCATTATAATGAATTAATTTCAGGTATTCCTCATGTTCCGTCAACTATGCCCTCCTTTGCCTCCCCCAGACAGGAACATTCTCCTTGCTCTGGAATGTAAACTAGTGTGTGGTCACTTGTGTGTCTTATTGTGGTTGCAATCTAAATTTTTACTCTAGCTTCACTTTAATTGTTCTAATGCATGGAAGACTAACTTCAGCAACAACTTAGAATCTTATGAACTTCACAGCTATCCCTGAGAAAAGAGGTGGCATCTTGACCCCTCTTCTTCAGGTTCCCTTTGGAGCAGCAAATGTTTAGATCTAGGACTGTGAAAAACAGGAGAAGCATAAGCCATCTCTGAGTTTCCAATTTTTGTACCTGATGAACTGTGTTTGGGGCTGGTATCCTTTGCAATTTCAGTTGAAACTATTGCTAATTCTTAAACATTTTATTTTGCTCACCAGCACAGGGAATAACCAACTTGATTGTGTGTCTTTCAGGTATATTCATTTCAACCAAATAGCAACTCTACAGCCAGAGACCTTTGAAGACCTTCTGAAATTAGAGCGGCTGTGAGTGTTGACCCTCTAACTGTCCTTTGCTTTTTCTTTACACGTTCTGTTTATACAACACATTGGACTGCCCTGGAGATCAGGACACTTTGCTGTAAGCTTAGGAAGCAGAGTAAATAAACAACATCCTGTAATTTGAAATCCAAGGAGAAAATATGAATAATCCAATTAAAAATAAAGTAAAAGAGGTGATCACAGATGAAATCACTTTGAAAGTTTATGGTAGAATCTACTACAGTTGGACATATACATTCCTATGACCTAGCAATTCCACTTCTAGTTCCATTCTGTATAGTTTGAAAATGTACCACAGAAGTTCATGCATTGGAAGCTCAGTCCTCAAATTCATGTTAATAGTTTTTGCAGAGGGGGGTGTCTTTGGGAGGTAACTGGGGTTAGAGATGTTATGAGGAATCAACCCCCCTATAAGAAGAGCAGGAGAGAGCTGAGCTCGCATCCTCTGGCTCTCTTGCCTTGTGACGCTCTCCGCCAAGTTATGATGCAACAAGAAGGCCCTCACAACATGTCATGCAGATGCCAGTGTCTTGAGCTTCATGGCCTCCAGGAACATGAATCAGATAAGCTTCAGTTCTTTATAAATGACTTCATCTCAGGTGTTTTGTTATAGGAACAGATGGATTAAGGTACATGTACAATAGAAGGTGTATTCTTGAGTGTTTGCAGCAGCATTTTTTTCTGATCAATCCACACTGGAAAATGACCCAAGTCTTCAACAAGAAGTAAAGAAAAAAAGCTACCATCTGTTCATAAAATAAAATACAGCATGATGAATCTCAGAAACATTCTGATAAAAAAATCCACACACTGAAAGATAAGAGAAGTTAATCAACCACTATCCCATGCAGTTACTTCAAATCTACTGGACTACAGAAGCACAGGCACTATAATGCATAAAATTATTATTTTTTGTTTTTATTTTGTTTCAGAGGAATGAGATGGTGGGTGGGGTGCTGGGTATGGGAGCATGTGATATTCCTCTTCTACTCTGACTTGTGTGAATGGGGATCCCTGTGTAGGAAGCACATGGTTCAAGGCATGTGGAACTGTGGAAGTATATAGTCTTAATGACTAAAGACTTTCAGAAACCTGGGTCACTAACTTTAATTTAGGGGAATGTTTTCCTGATGAATCAGCACTACTTTTATGCTGTACAGCAAGACTGCTACTGAACCACCAAAACTCTGAAAATCCCTCCGGTCACTCTTACCAAACAGCAGCCCCCAAAGCTGCAGAAATAGGAAATAGAGTGTCCTGCTCCCTGAGGAGATACAGAGGTCTACAGCAGTGATGCAGGTCTTGTCTTTCTTGAAAGATTAATTTAGTTAGAAGGCAGAGTGACAGAAAGGGAGGGAGAGACAAAGACAGAGATGTTCATTGACTGCTGGACTCCCCAAATGGCTACAACAGCAGGGGGTGGGTCAAGCTGAAGCCAGGAGCCAGGAACTCCATGTAGGCATCTCACATGGTTGATAGGAACTCGGACACTTGGGCCATAATCCACTGCCTCCCAGGCACATTACCTGGAGGCTGGATCACAAGGGCAGCTTGACCCATTGTGGTACAATGCCTGCCCCTGGTCTTGTCTTTATAGGGGGGACTTCTTATCATGGGATCCATGAATGGGCTCTAAGAACTTGGGGACTCATTAGTCAAAAAGGGTTTAATTATTTAAACAAATGTACATTTTAAACTACTAATGCAGGTATATAATATCATAGCCAATCTTCCACATTTGTGGGTTTCACATATGTTCTTTCAACCAAATATTTAAAAAAATATCTGGGGTCTGTACTGGGCATGTGCAGAATTTTCTTGTAGTCATTCCCTAATCAATGCAGCGTGATGACTATTTTCACAGCCTGTACATTGCACTTGGTGTTATAAGTAATCTAGAGGAGACAGAATTGGGTGCAGTAGATTAGGCCACCACCCGTGACTCCAGCATCCAGTATTAGTGTTCCTTTCAGTTCCAGCTGCCTCACTTCTGATTAAGTTTCCTGCTAAAGCATGTAGGGTGTGCTTGGGCCCTTGCTACTCATGTGGTAGACCTGGATGGAGTTCCTGGTTTCTGGCTTCAGCCTGGCCCCAACCTGCATCGTGGCCATTTGGGGAGAGAACCAGTTGATGGAAAAATACTCTCTTTCTGTCTTTCCTTCTCTCTTTATCACTCTTCCTTTCGAATAAATAAAATAAATACTAAAAATATATAAGGGAGAATATGTTCAGGTTATATGCAAATACCCTGGATTTGGGTATTTGTGAGGGATTTAACACAAACTGGATCCCTCGCAGATACTGAGGGACCACTGTGTACAGTACATGTAGCTTAAGAGGAAGAACTTTCTAGTTCAGTCTCTCTCTATAAAGGCCACCAGTTTACTTCTTTTTTTTAAATTTTTCAGTTGTCAACATTTCTGCCTAGACAATATGTCCAGATGTTCATTCTTTCCTTTTTAAGTGCAGATTGTGTGCACTGCCTCCTACTCTGAAAGATGGGTCATTTACACCACTTTCCCTACCCTCTGTTCAATACCATGTGTTTTATTGTTTATATATATATATTATATATACTATATATATAGTGTATATATATTATATATATAATTGACCTTCTAATTCTTGTTCTATTTATTTTGATAGCCTTTCTTGATTCTTCACTTAAAATTTTGAGACTACTATCCAATCTCATACTTTCTTCTATTTTTCTACATTCTTTACATCTTTATTCTGGTAGCTAGCTCCTCTGTTCAAATTCTTTATTCAGAATATAATACATAGTCACTCCACTGTGCTGCAAAATACCAGAACCCATGAATTCCAAAATACTAGGTTTTTATACCCATTATCCAATTTGCAACCCTCCACCCCTACCCCAACCCTTCCCAGCTCTAGTAATTACTATTTAAATTCAGACCTCTCTCCCTTTCTCTCTCTCTCTCACACACATACACACACGTGTATATTTATATGAATAATTTTAACTTCCACATGAGAAAAAGAACATGCAATATTTTCAGCATCTCGCTTATTTCACTTAATATAATGATCTCCCATCCATTTTGCTGTAGATGTCAGAATTTCACTCTTCTTTATGGCATATACTTTTTTATCCTTTTGTCCATGCAAGGACACTTATATTGATTCCATACTTTGCTATTGTGAATAGTGATGCAATGAATATCCTTGTCTGATTTAGGATGTTAGAGGAATTGATACCATTTTTTCCCAGTCAATATGATGTTGACCATGGGTTTGTCATATATATAGCCTTCATTATGTTATTTCTTTCTTTATCTAATTTTTCAAGTTTTTAAAATCATGAATAGGAGCTAAATTTTATCAAAAGCTTGTTGTGCATCTATTGCGATGATCATATGATTTTTACCCTTCATTTTGTTGATGTGACACATTGTTATTTCTTTATGAACCAATGATTTATGAACCATTATTATGAACCATCTCTTCATTTGTGAATAAATCTCATTTTGTTAGGGTGAATGGACTTTTTGGTATGTTCTTGAATTTTATTTGCTAGTATGTTGTTGGAAATTTTTGCATTGTGTCTATGTTCATCAGAGATATTGGTCTAGAGATTTCTTTTGTTGTTCTTGTCATTGTAGCTGTGCCCTGTTTTTGGAATCAGGATAATGCTAGCCTCATAGAACAAATTTGAAAGGGTTCCCTCCATTTCAAATTTGTGAAATAGTTAAAGAAGAATTAGTATTAATTCTTCCTTAAAAGTTTGGTAGAATGTAGTAGTAAAGCCTTCTGTACCCTGACTCTTCTACAGCTGGGGACATTTTACTACTTATTTATTCTCATTACTCATTATTAGTCTGTCCCATTAGTTTTCCATGTCTTCTTGGATCGAGTTTGGAAGATCACATATATCCAAAAATATATCCATTTCTCTTAGGTTTTCCAATTTGTTGGCTTATAGCTATTTATGGTAGTCCTTAAGAATCCTTTGTAATATCTCCTTTTACATTTCTGATTTTTATTTGAGTCTTCAAATTTTAGTATAACAATTTATTTTATTTTGTTTATTTTTTTAAAAAACAGTCCTTCATTTCATTGATTTTTATATATTTTCTCAGTTTCAATTTTATTTAGCTCTACTCTAATTTTTCTTTTTTCTTTTTTTTTCCTTTTTTTGACTTCAGGTTTGGTTGCTCTTATTTTTCTAGATCCTGGAGATAAATTGTTGGGTTGTTTATTTCTTATCTTTCTGTTTTTTAAAAATATAGGTGAAATTACTGATATGAACAGTCTTCTCAGCACTATTTATTTTTGCTGTACCCCATACATTTTGGTATATTATGTTTTCATTTTAATTCATTTCCAGGAATTTTTAAATTTTCTTTTTGTTCTCTTCAGTAACTAAATCTTCATTCAGTAGAATGTTGCTCAATCTTCATATATTTCTAAATTCTAACAGTTGTTTTGTTGTTGATTTCTATTTTCATTCCATGATGGTCAGAAAAGATACATGATTTGATTTGATTTTTGAAACTTGCTGAGACTTGTTTTGTGGTATGGTTTATAGCCTATCCTTGAGATTGATACATGTGCTGATGAAAAGAATGTGTACTCTATAGCCGCTGGGTGAAATGTTCTACAAATATCTGTTAGGTCAATTTGGTCTGTATTCTAGTTTAACTCTGGTGTTTCTTTAACTTGTTGACCTCTCCATTGGTGACAGGAATATTGTAATCTGTCACTATTTCTATGTTGGAACTTATCTCTTTGTTTAGATTTAAAAATGTTTTGTTTTATAAAATTATTCCCTTGGATTTCTTCTCAGGCATTATATCAACCAATATCACAACATTCTCATGTTCCTTTGGGGGAGTAGTATTGGCTTTTTTCCTTACTTCTTTTGCTCCTACATGATATTTGCACATTTGATGTATTGGTTGTCTCTGTCACTGTCAGTATGACTTTCATGAACTGAAGGATTTCACCTGAAGATGTATTTT